GCGCCTGTCGGCAGAGATAGCTACATGGCCGAGGGGTAGAAGGCAGTGACCCTGATATAACACTGCATTGAGACAGCAGGTTCCAAGCTGGAACCACTGGCATTAACTCTGACAGGGTACTTGATGTTAGACAAGTTATCTCCTTTTAGAGTGTCTGAAGACCTGGCTTAGGAGCCTGGTCCTTAAAAAGCTGTTTGGTTGTGGCCAAGTCACAACTAAATTTTGGGTTCTACATCTATAAAATGTAGGATTGTCTTAGCGGTTAGCACCATGGTGTAGTGTGAATCTAATCACAAGTTTCTAAACGGTGCCTTTCCTGTATGAGTGCCTGGCTTGGGCCTGCAGGGGTACCTGAAAACTGGACAAACGAGAGGAGTCAACCCCTCTGCCCTCTCTCACTGACCAGTGCGGCCTGGATCAAGGGACTGTCCAGCCTTCTCCCCTTCCTGGTAGTCAGGTGCTGGCCTGTGCCACAAAACCTGTTTATGTTGGAGGTGGAGACAGGTTTTCCTGCCTTATCCTACCCGTTTTTCAGACTAGGGCGTGGCAGAACACACACTGGACTGAGACTTTTTCTGCTAGATCAAAATACCCACCCATTGTAAAGGGGAAGGCTAAAAAGGCGTCCAAAGTGTGTTGATCTGTCTCTGAACAGTACACACCTTTCGGAAGCCACCTTTGGCACACACGTCCACTACACACATCTCACTAAGTTCCTCCCTAGTCATTTCAGAAATTTCCTGGAGAGGTCAGAGCTGTTTGTCTTAAAATCTGCTCATTTTATTCCAATAACCTTACCCCATTTAACTTTCTCCCCACTTCAAATCATTCCCAAATTTCCCAAAAGGTGTATCTGCCAAGAAGAAAAGGTGAGTTTTTAGGTGGCTTGGAGAAAACGAGTTCACAAAATTCATTCATCAACCTGCTCTGTGCCAGGCCCTGGACTCTCATGAGCGGGGCGTAGTCTGGGAGGAAAGTGGTCGTGTCCCTCCCTGGGGCTGCTCTCTTGCCCTCATTTGTTCCTAGATTTCATTGCTAATCCTAATCAGCTCCTTTCAGTCCTTCACCCACCCACCAGGAAGTTGCCCGTGAGTCTTAGGGCTTTCCTCATCCTCTAGATATACCTCACCATCCCCACTGGAAACCTACGCTCAGTCCCTCTCCTTCTCTCTCTCTTCCTCCTACCCCTTTCCCCCTTCATTCTTCTTTCATCTGGCACCTCCCCCTGTAAACTAGTAAGAGGAATGAGGAGGCTGAGAGATGAGAGATGAACATTCTCACAGAATGTCCACTAAGCTATGAAGATGCTGTTTGGAATGAAACTGTTCACATTTCTCTATCGCTGTTAAGGCAGCCATTGTCTCTAGCAGCTGCCAGCTAAGTGAACAGAGAAAACGAAGTTTCATTGGAAACAACTGGAGCAGTTGGCAGGACTGTAGTTGTGGCTGGGACACAACCCCAAAGTCTGTCTGCTGTGAGTTGCTAACTTTCCATATCACACAGCCTGGTGGGATCTGGGTGGCACCTTGCTTGCTGCCATTCCATCACGCTGCTCTGCTGTCTGCTTACTGCTGCTGTCGGTGCTGTCTTGGGGAGTCACCTGAAATTGCAGTGGCTGCAGACAACCTCTGAACCACTGGGCTCCCCTGCAGCCGTCAGAGGGCAGGTTCTATGGCAAGGAAGCTGGGGTTCCCTTCCATCAGCCTCCCTTCCTACGAATATGAGAATCCTAAACAGTAGGCCACTGTTTTGGGGGTGTGTTGCCCCTTGAGCCAGGCACGCTGTCCCCATGACCCAGAGTCTCAGTAGTGGTCAGGACTGTATTGGCTATAAATGACGAAGTCCTGGTGTCCAGCCAGAGTGAGGCAGCCAGGACAGTGCAGCTCTACCTCCGTCTCACTACTGAGAGACATGGGTTACCAAGCTCTAGGAAAGCAGCATTCCCCCGAGGAACAGTCAGAAAGGGGTGATTCAACACCGGGCTCTCTGTGTCAGTGAGTGGAGACAGGGGAAAGGATCTAACTGCCTAGCCCTAGCCCCTGGTGGGGTCACTTCACTGGAGTCCCACGGCACCTCCCAAGAGTCAGGGCTGCTGAGGCCAGCCTCCTGGTCCCCACCCCGACCCCTGAGATGTCGATTAGGACACCCTGGAAAGGGAAGCAGCTGCCTGTAGATCCAGTATGCTGGAGGGCCCTCCCAACTTTTTTCCAGTAACAATTTGTAAGGTCAAAATAACGGGTGATTTGATACCACCAAGAGCTTGTTGGGCAAACGTTGAGAGTGAGATAGAGTGTGTGTGAGAGAGAGAGAAAGAGAGAGAGATCCTCCTATTTAATTACCTAGAAATGCTAGCCATTCTTAAAAATGTTACTTAAAAGGAGAAAAAAGGGACTGGTAATTTGGCAGTGGAGGCCATCCCAGAGAGTGTCTCCTTCCTAGAGACACTGGGCCCCTTTCCTCCTTCCTCTTCTCAAATCTTATCAACTAGAGGCTGAACGTCACACCCACAGCTTCTGGTGGCTAAAAGCCTTAAAAACAACAACAAAAATCAAATAAGAGAGACTGGTGCTTTAGGTAGCCATAACACCAAGAAAAAGGATCAATTTCTTTCTTTCTTTCTCTCTTTCTCTCTCTCTCTCTCTCTCTCTCTCTCTCTAGCTCTGTTGCCCAGGCTGGAATGCAGTGGTGCTATCATAGCTCACTGCAGCCTCAATCTCCCAGATTCGAGCAACCCTTCCACCTCAGCCTCCCAAACAGCTGGAACTACAGGTGTGCACCACCACACCGCACTGATCTTTTTTTTTTTTTTTGTAGAGACAAAGTTTCACTATGTTGCCCAGGCTAGTCGCAAACTACTAGGCTCAAGCAATCATTTCCAAAGTGCTGGTATTACACGTCTAAGCTACCGTGTCCAGCCCGGAACTTTAAACTTTAGGTACTGAGCAAAGAGCAAGTCTAGGAAATACAATGCTAGCCTTAGATTATGTATTGATTTATGAACAAACTCCTAGATATAGAGGAAAATAAAAGGTATGTATAGATTATACATATATAAATGCATATAATTTATATATAAACTATAATATACTGCATATAAATAAATAAATTATATACATATTTTAATATATAATAAATAGGCTGGGTATGGTGGCTCACACCTGTAATCTCAGCACTTTGGGAGGCTGAGGTAGGTGGATCGATCACTGGAGGTCACAAATTTGAGACTGGCCTGGCCAACATGGTGAAGCCCCGTCTCTACTAAAAATTCAAAAAAATTAGCCAGGCGTGGTGGCACATGCATGTAATCCCAACTACTCGTGAGTCTGAGGCAAAAGAATTGCTTGAACCCGGGAGGTGGAGGTTGCAGTGAGCCGAGATCGACTCACTGCACTCCAGCCTGGCAACAGAGTGAGACTCCATCTCAAATAAATAAAATAAATACACACACACACACACACACACACACACACACACACACACACACACACGGTAAACTGTGTATATGCTGTATTTTCCATCATTTGAGTTAACTGAAAATTCAAAATTGCTAATTTAGATACTGAAGAATTTATATAACAAAAAGATTAAAAACAGCACTTACTGGTTTTTGTGCCTCTATAACATAGGTTCTAACTTAACATTTGCAAAAATGCACTAAATGTCAAAAATTCATGGACTTAATACTGGGCCTCAAATTATAATTATGCCTGGGTATCCCACTAATTTAAACACTCTGACCCTATAATCTTGAGAGGTTAACTACATATTAAAGTTTTTACATGTGTATGACTCAATTTAAGTGTAGTCTTGCCTAAATTTCTCATGGTCATATACCCACTGCTACAAAATGCTTTCCATTGAACACAGATGGTTTGACAAAATAAATAATAAATTAGACTGGGCATGGTGGCTCGTGCCTGTAATCCCAGCACTTAGGAAGACCAAGGCAGGAAGTTCACTCGAGCCCAGGAGTTCAAGACCAGCCTGGGCAAAAGCAAAACCCTGTCTCTAAAAAAACTACAATTAACCAGGTGTGATGGTGTGTGCCTATAGTCCCAGTAACTCAAGAGGCTAAGGTGAGACGATCAGCTGAGCCCAGGAGGTTGAGGCTACAGGGAACCAGGATAGTGCCCCTGCACTCCAGCCTGGGAGATACAGTAAGACCCTGTTTGAATATTAATAATAAAATTAAAGTGTCTCTTTGTCATTTGCAAATTGGCTTGATAAAATGGGACCCCCATGAGCCCCCATTTTATAGTTAATATGGCCCAATGTAAGTTAAAGCAGGCCCTTCACGGATTAAAACTCTATATAAAACCTTATTTTTAAAGAGTGATTATCCCTCCACTACTCTCCATTTAGCAGCCTAATTTTGCCTATGTTCAAATCTGGAAAAACATATATATTTTTATGTATATACATTTTACTATGCATTTATATTTTAATATATAAAAGGTACTGTATCTAAATTTAATGTGTATTTTAAATATATAAATGTGTATATATGGTACCTTTGATGGATCATTACAACTCAACATTGTGGTCCCATCCATTAGACCCCCATACCTAGTATTAAAATTAAACTGATTTCATTCAATCAACAACTAATAAATGCTCTTACAGAGGTGGCTAACCATGCCTATTTCAACAGCCCTTCAGGCAATTTGCCTCTGCCTCTGAAGGAACACGATACACTTTTCTAGGCTACTCACAGGAGACCTCCACGTGAGGTCTGTCATCACGCACTGTCTTTACAGACAAGATGCACCTTCTCCAGGAGCACAGGTACAACACTGCACTGAGAACATCCTCCCCCAAGGAGACTTCATTTGACTCACACTCACATTTGAGCTTAAAGAGGAAGCAGGCAGTCACTGGTAGCTAAGGAAGCCTGTAGCTGCCCTCCCCTTCTTCATCGTATCCCTAAGGAGGAGGGGTGATGGCACGGATTGGTCAGATTCAAGTCAAGTGAACAAAGCCAAGGCCTGGGCTGGAATCTCAGTGTGTGAAATAAGGGGGTTAAAGGCTGGTCCCAGGCTGGGGATGGCTCCCTTCCACTTCTCTCTCAGACACTGAAGGTAAGATGGGGGCCTGGGCTTATACCTATCGGGAGGGAGGTGCATTTTTCCTTCTTCCCATTCCCCTCTCAACAGAGTCCCAAGAAAGAACAGGGGAAGGCCAAGGAGAAAGGAACGAGGACAAAACAGCCCCGACCGCACAGGCCCAGTGCAGACCCCAGAGGTCAGGGCTTCCTGCTGGGGCTTGGGGTCAAAGCCCTAACAGAGAATAAAAGGTTTTTTGGCTTGTGAAATCTGCTATACAAATATTCCTCCAGGAATACCCTGGGATAGTAGGGGGCGGGTGGGTGTCCCTGGAATCTGTATTCCAGCCATCCATCTCTCAGCAACAAACCAGAGGAGGGAATGACCAAAATAGTTTCTGGGAAAAGAAGGGGGAATTCCTGGAGGGGTGCAGTAGCTCACACCTGTAATCCCAGCACTTCGGGAAGCCATGGTGGGTGGATCACCTGAGGTCAGGAGTTGCAGACCAGCCCGGCCAACATGGTAAAACCCCGTCTCTACTGAAAACACAAATATTAGCTGGGCGTGGTGGTGGGCACCTGTAATCCCAGCTACTCAGGAGGCTGAGGCAGGAGAATCCCTTGAACCCGGGCGGCAGAGGTTGCAGTGAGCCAAGAAAAAGAAAAAGAAGGGGGAATTCTAGGCAGAGTGAACAGCATTCTAAAGGCAAGCAATAAATGGATGTCTTAATATGTGTGGAGTAATAAACAGAGTGAGAAAGGTCTGCAGTTAGGGGATCACAGAGGAACTTTATAAGGTTTATAAAGAGGAACTTTATACCATACTGTGCGAGAAGTCTAGACTTCATCCATAAAAAGATGGTCTCCTGTGTTAGCCCACTGCTTGTGTTATTCTGGTGCTTGCTACATACCAGGCATGGTTCTGAATGCCTTACATGAATTAACTCATATAATTCTGAGACACTAAGATAAAGGACTTGCCCAAAGGCTCACCAACAAGGAACCTGAGGTCCAAAGGGGTGGACCAAGTGGCGGATCTGTTCTCTTCACCGAATGTGCTACTCGGCAGTCATGGCACCAACAAGGAGACAGGTTCTGCTGACCCGGACTTAACCGTGAGGTGACCGGGAGGAGGTGGTATCTGAGCTGAGTCCTGAGAGACAAGGGATCAGGGCCAGCAGAGGCTGGGAGAGTTTAAGGTGCATGGGCTCCAGGATGCCTGAGGACTACTTTGGGAAACAAGGGGATCCAGCAAAAAGAACCGTAGAGAGAAATGCCCAATGCTTCACCGCAAGTCAAAGCCCCCAGGATGCAGAGTGCGGCATCCAAGAACAGAGCTGAGCAAGCCAGCACCGCCCTTGGCTCAGCGCCTGGCCCCACAGCTTTGACTTTACAGCGGAAGTTGGCTGTGATCCAGGATCTTCATTCAGTTTTATCAAAGTAAATGCAAATTTATTTGAAAAAACGATATTTATTGTTTTATTAAGGAGATTATATTTCTTTGTAGAAATGATGGGGGGATGCTTTTTAATTTTAAGTAGCAGTAATTTTTTTCCTTTAGCATAACCAGAATTCTTTCCGTATTTCATTGAAAAATGAGTGTTAAGTTTCTCAATTTTTCGAATGAGGGCATTGACACCTAGGAGATTAACTCAGGAAAGAAGCTGGCGCTCAAATCCAGTTATTCAGACTCCAAATTCTGTTTTCATTCTTTTTTTCCTTCATTCATTGAAAAAAAAAATACTGCATTCCTCAAATGTGCCAGGCACAGGACTATGCACTGAGTAGACAGCTGATGGTAAAAGAGACAGAGCTTATCTCACAGGCCCGCTTCTCATAGTGCTTCTAACACTGAGGCAGGAATATGTGAAGATACACTATAGAATACTCTATGTCATATTTCTAATCAGCACTTGGTGATTACATTGACACTTCTGGAAGGCTCTCACTCTTGCATTTGTAGTTAGCTGCTCCCATTCTTTCACTGAATGCTGCTTTGTGCCCATTCTTCGGTAGACACTGTGCATGGACTGTAACACACAAGCAGCAGAGTTCAATCTGTTAACACCTATGTGCAAACTACCTGCAAGTATTTATTGAGCACATACTTTTGGAAAAGCAGTCTTTCAGCAAATATTTATTGGTACCTTGATAATCCTAACAGCTAATATTTACTGAATACTATGTGCCAAGGATGATAATGAATTCTTTACACACATTATCATTTGGTTTTCACAGTAAAGTCTTCAGAGGCAGGTATTTGAGAGCTTAAGTCAACATGCTCAAATGCATGACACGAGAAAGCAGCGGCAGTGGAGTTTAAATCCAGGCAGCCAGCATTTCCTACGACTCTGCTGTCCTAACCTCCCACCCTATGGAGAGCACTGGGGATACAACAGTGAACAACACTGGTGCAATCTCTGCCCTTAAAATGTTTACAGCCTAGGAGGGAAGATAACCTTTAAACAGTCCTATGCTGGAATGTCTAACAGGCTACCTGGTCTCCTTTGAGCTTCATTCAAACTTCCCCAAGAATATGCCTTATCAAGTGGATGCAGAGACTGTCTTTACGCAAAGAGAGGAGGGAGGGAGAAGTCAGCCCAGCAGGGGGAGAGCACAAAGAAAAGCTCGGAGGTAGGAAGAGGTCTGGCAGCCTGAGAGCACTGCCCGGTGGATCGCAGGGAAGCCAAGGAAAAGAGCATGAGGAGTGGCACATAAACCTGCAAAATTCAAAGGTTCCTCCAGCTGCAGGAAGGGGGAGGTCGGCCGAGAGCAAGACAGTGTGTGGGGACACCAGGCAGGACACTACTTCATGTGAGGCAGGGATGTGAGTTTGGATCAGCCTGTTGATAGAGGGAATGGCAGCATGTGGGTTGATTAAAAACAAATGTAGAAGAGAATCGATGGGGCTTGTGTGGGGAAATGAGGGAGTCAAGGAAGATTTTTGGCTTGAACAACCCAGTGGATGGCAGCACTTAGGGCAGCTCGGGGGAGGAAGATGAGAGTTCAAGTTGCATCCAGGGTGGCTGTGGACAGCCACGGAGCTGATAGGTCAGGGGGCTGGTTGGTCATGTGGCTCTAGAGCTCGGAGGTCCTAGCGGTGAAGGAGATCATCTTGGACATAGGTGAAATGAGTGTCTAAGACAGAGCCGTAGAGACCTTCCACTATGAAAGGTTATTATTAGAGAGGTCAGGTGCGGTGGATCACATCTGTAATCCTAGCATTTTGGGAAGCTGAGGCGCAAGGATCACTTGAGCCAAGTGTTTGAGAGCAGCCTGGACAACATGGCAAGACCTTGTCTCTATAAAAATTAGAAAAAATCAGCCACACACTGTGGCACACACCTGTGGTCCCAGCTATTCGGGAGGCTGAGGTGGGAGTATTGCACTTACCTGAGCCTGGTAAGTGCAGGCTACAGTAAGCCATGATCACACCACTGCATTCCAGCCTGGACGACAGAGTGAGACCCTGTCTCAAAAAAAAAAAAAAAAAAAAAAAAAAGAGAGAGAAGGTCCTTAGAGAGGGGGGATTCAGCAAAGGGAACTGAGAAACATAGTCAAAGAGAAAGTAGGAAAGGCAGGAGAGGGTGAAGTCTGTTTCAAGGAGGGAGTGGGAGCAGGGCACAGTGGCTCATGCCTGTAATCCCAGCACTTTGGGGGCTGAGGTGGAAGGCTCACTTGAACCCAGGAGTTCAAGACCAGACTGGGCAACATAGTGGGACCCTGTCTCTACCCCCCCAACATTTTTTTATTAGCCAGCTGTGGCGGCGCACTCCTGTAGAGTGCCTCAGCTACTCCAGAAGCTGAAGTGGAAGGACTGCTTTAGCCTAGGTGTTCAAGGTTACAGTGAGTCATGATGGCACCACTGCACTCCAGCCTGGGTGACACAGTGAGGCCCTGTCCCAAATAAATAAATAAAAAGGCAATGGTCTGAGATGCAGAACTACTTGTGCTGAATTTTCAGCAGGGCACAGTTAAATACAGAAAAGGTTGTTCTGACCTGGGATTTGTCCCTAGGGGTCTTCATGAAGGCTATGCCTGAGGTGCACCTGGACAGGCCACCTGCAGGGAAGGGGCTGAGGGTGAATGTTTGGGAACAGCAAATCCTGTCAGCAGGTAGAATGAGGAGGGAGAGCTAGAGGCTTCCACGGAGGTCACGTCGCCCATGAGGTCCTATCACGCATGTCACTCAGTCACTGGCCACTTGATGCTCATTTCATGCTCACAACAACTCTGCAGTAGTAATTCACTAACTTTTTGTCACAGACGACAACACTCAGACCCAGACATGGGAATTGACTGTTCAGACAGTGCAGATGGAAGTGGGGAAGGCAGAATTCAACCCTGGGTCTCAGGCCAGTGCTATCACCTCACACTTCCTTGACTCGGGTGACAACGAGAAGAGATTAGAGAGGATGCGGGCTAGGCAGAGGTGGAGAGGATGGAGGATGCGGACAGAGGGTAGCAGCTCAGGACAGGGAAGAAGTTTGGGGCTTCTGGCTGCAGTAGCCAGGTGAACGGAGGCGGGAACAGCAGGGTGTGGGTTCAGGGGAAGACGGAGACTCACACGATGAGTCCGCTGAGCGGCCAAGTGACGAGCTGTGGGGCGGAGTCGTCAGGAGGCAGAGAGAGACACAGATCTGAAGGTCAGAGAGAGTCAGCGGAATCTCGGATTTTGGTTCCTTTTTACCACTTAACGGCAAAGTTAACAAGGTTCTGGGAGAGAGATGACGGGGTACGGGTGGCGTCCCGCCGGTGTCAAAGACGACTTCTGGCTCACCTCTGACTCGGTTTCCCCCACAGATGGCTTTTCCCTGCCGCAGGTCCCTGAATCCCAAGACGCTGGCCTGCCTCCTGGTGGGCGTGAGTTTCCTGGCTCTGCAGCAGCGGCTCCTCCCGGCCCCGAGGTCCCCGCAGGAGGAGACGCCACAGGGCCCCGCCGCCGCCCCCGCGGCTGCCGCTCCGCCCTCGGTGCCGGCCCCCGCGCCCCCGTGCCTGGCCAACGCCTCCGCCAACGCCACGGCCGACTTCGAGCAGCTGCCCGCGCGCATCCAGGACTTCCTGCGGTACCGCCACTGCCGCCGCTTCCCGCTGCTCTGGGACGCCCCGGCCAAGTGCGCAGGCGGCGGCGGCGGCGTCTTCCTGCTCCTGGCCGTGAAGTCGGCGCCTGCGCACTACGAGCGGCGCGAGCTCATCCGGCGCACGTGGGGGCGGGAGCGCAGCTACGAGGGGCTGCAGGTGCGCCGCCTCTTCCTGCTGGGCACCCCGGGACCCGAGGACCGGGCGCCCGCCGAGCGGCTGGCGGCGCTGGTGGCGCTGGAGGCGCGCGAGCAGGGCGACGTGCTGCAGTGGGCCTTCGCCGACACCTTCCTCAACCTCACGCTCAAGCACGTGCACCTGCTGGACTGGCTGGCGGCGCGCTGCCCGCACGCGCGCTTCCTGCTCAGCGGCGACGACGACGTGTTCGTGCACACCGCCAACGTGCTCCGCTTCCTGCGGGCGCAGCCGCCCGGCCGCCACCTGTTCTGCGGCCAGCTCATGCAGGGCTCCGTGCCCATCCGCGACAGCCGGAGCAAGTACTTCGTGCCCCCGCAGCTCTTCCCCGGGCCCGTCTACCCGGTGTACTGCAGCGGTGGCGGCTTCCTCCTGTCCGGCGCCACGGCCCGGGCCCTGCGCTTGGCCGCCCGCCACACCCCGCTCTTCCCCATCGACGATGCCTACATGGGCATGTGTCTGGAGCGCGCCGGCCTGGAGCCCAGCGGCCACGAGGGCATCCGGCCCTTCGGTGTGCAGCTGCCTGGCGCGCGGCAGCCTTCCTTTGATCCCTGTATGTACCGCCAGCTGCTGCTGGTGCACCGCTTCGCACCCTACGAGATGCTGCTCATGTGGAAGGCGCTGCACAGCCCCACGCTCAGCTGTGAACGGGGACACCGGGTCTCCTGAGGCCGGGAGGGTGGCCTCAGCCCCGGGCCTCCACCCGTGACGGTGTCCGTGCTGAGAAGGCAGCTTTCCCACCCTGGGTACCTTCCGTCCTGCCCAGCTCTGTGTACCTGAAACCCTGAAATCAGCAGGGTGTGAGGGATGCGGGAAATAACTGCATCCTGGCTGCATGTCCTGAAGTTTCGATTTGATTGGTCTGGGGTGACCCAAAACGTGTTAAGTGTTTTTTAAGTTCCTCCGGTGATTCGAATGTGCAGCTAGACCTGAGGACCACTGGGCTAGAATGTCTGTTCATCCTCGAAAACCCAGCTCCACCGCCCCCTCCGCAAGCCTTCCCGGGCACCTGGCTCCCACACTCGGGTCCTTGTGGGCAATGGAACAAGGGATACCTGGGAATGTGGGAGCGAGGATCAGCGTGCCCTGCCGCGTGCCTACAAATGTGAGTTGCCATTTCCACCATTTCCTCTACAAGTGAGTGGAGCTGAGCTGGGCCGACAGTCGTCAGGTGGATCCCGCTTCCCTCTCCCCCTCAGAAGTCAGTCACATGGCGCTGAGGTGCATGTGACACTTCCTCTCACAGCTGTCCCAGTACCTCGTGAGGTAGAAATCAAAGTGGAAGCCAAGGGGGCGCACCCCGCCCCTCGGATCCCGCACACACCCGATCTCCACCGAGCAGCCCCGGATCGCGGGCCCCCAACGGCCCGAGTGAGGCCAGCATGACTTTGACACGCACACTCTGACACTTCCTCTCACAGCTGTCTCAGTACCCCATGAGGTAGAAATCAAAGTGGAAACCAGAGGCCTGGTCAGACAGTGACTCATCCAGGGCCACGTCATTCTCAGACAGCACCACGTTTTGATCCCCTCCACCCTCACCCCCACCAAAGTGAATGGCCTGGTTGGGTCCAGCCCGCCAATGCTCACCCCCACAGGTCAGAGACAGGCTCCTTGCTGGGGTCTGGGCCTCAGGATCAGTGGGCCTTGGACAACCCAACAGGGAGTTCCGGGGAGTTCAAAGTGGAGAAACGCTGATGGGAACATGGAGGCCAGCGTTGGGGAGGCTGTGGAGGCAGGTGTGTAGAATTGTGTTTGGGAGGTGGGAGATCTGAAACAGGTGGATAGTGGTTAAGAGAATGTGCAGGGCTTCCTGGGAACTTGGTGACCCGGGCTCTGAGAACCAGGCTGTGGTCCTGACCTGAAGCAGTCACAGCTGCCAGTCATCTTGGCAATACGGAAAATCAAGGAAATGGCCTCAGGGCAGGCAGAAGTGTGTGTCCGCAAGGTCCCAACTATATAAGATGGACGCAGGGACTCGCCTTCAGGGAGGAAAGAACCCTGGCAGCGAGTCAGAAGACTGGCCAGAGGATGTTTCTTGCCTTCAGGACAAACACCAGACTCCTCAGTCCTGCATTTCCGGTTCCACGTGCTGCCGCTCACTCCCCCCACCCCCCGCCACTGTAATGCACTGGCCTCGGCCTCCCGAAGTGTGATTATAGGTGTGAGCCACCACGCCCGGCCTAGGTGATAGTTTTAAAGTGCGGTACTTCCTCGTTTCGCTCACACTCCCTCCTGCTGCCTTGTGAAGAAGCTGTCTGCTTTCCCCTCACCTTCCGCCATGATTGTAAGTTTCCCGAGGCCTCCTAGCCACGCTTCTTGTTAAGCCTGCAGAACCGTGTAAACCTCTTTCCTTTATAATTACCCAGTCTCAGGTAGCATCCTTCATAGCAGTGTGAAAATGGACTAACACACTTTCCACAGTAATGTTCCATGTCAGGGCCATGTAAATCCTCCGTAAGCCACATAGGAGGGCACTGTCATTCTGCTGGCTTACTGGCAGCAGCTCTGAGAGGTCAAAGGAAGCAGGAGGAGGTGGCAATTCCAACTGATCTTTCTGCAGCCCTTGCCATGGGCTTCCAGGAGCCACAGCCACTTGTCCCTTGCTGGTCTTTTTTTCTGAGCAAGCCATAACAAGTACTCCTAAATGATTTTGAGGTGAATGGATGAGTGGATGTGTGCCACCTGTCCCAGTGGTGTAGACTGCATCTTTTAGGACAGCAGTCCCCAACCTTTTTGGCACCAAGGACTCATTTTGTGGAAGACAGTATTTCCACAGACCGATGTGGGGGATGGTTTTGGCAAGATTCAGGTGCATTATATTTATTGTGCACTTACTTTCTGTTATTATTACATTGTAATATGTAATGAAATAAGTATACAACTCACCATAATGTAGAACCAGCGGGAACTCTGAGCCTGTTTTTCTGCAACTACACGGTCCCATCAGGGGTGATGGGAGACAGTGATAGATTATCAGGCAGTAGATTCTCAGAAGGAGCATGCAACCTTCCACTTCTAAGGACCCTGTAGCTACACTGGGCCTACCCAGATAACCTGGTATTCTCTTACTATCTTAAAGTCTTCTGATGAGCAACCTTCATTCTGCCTCAACCTTACTTCCCTTTGCCATGTAACATGGTGACATGCAACATAGAACATTCGTATGTAACATGTAGCAGGCACAGGTTCCAGGTATTTAGTAGGGTATGGGCAACTTTTTGGGGGGCCGTTATTATTGGCCACAGTGCCCAGTAAATATTTATTGTGGAATAAATCAACAGTAATGAATGCACAAAAATGAATCAATGAACAAGAGTGCTTCTTCCACACAGGCCTCCTCGATGGGAACTCTCATTCTGGACTACACTGAGTGTCATTGATTCTGAATTCCCGCCCCTAGCTGCCATTTGTCAAGTGCTTACAAGATACGGGAAAAACAAGAATGCTGAGGTCAGAATGAGGATGGGTCCTCTGGAAGGTCCAAATTGTGCTTTGACACAAAATCACACAAAAGGTGCTTTTACAGCCTCCTCCCATTTCCCTGACAGACAAGCGGATTATCCCCATTCTATTCCTAGAGATGAAGATTCAGGACCTTGCTGGCTCCGAGGCTTGGGAAGCCGCCGTCACGGGTGGGCTGAGTGACTCTGGGTCCTGGCCACCTGGCTGCTGTAGGTTGCACTCGCGCCCAGGCCCAGGGAAGGCTGCAGTACGCGCGCAGCCCCGGCAGCATCGGGCGCCACGTGGCGCATCGCCCTCCGAAGCCCTGGCTTGGCACCCCTCGCCCCGCTCATCCGGCTCATGCGGCCCACGGCCGCCAGGGGGCGCGCCCCGCCCCTCGGATCCCGCAGGCACCCGAACTCCACCGAGCAGCCCCGCAGCGCGGGCTCCCGAGTGAGACCAGCCTGACTTTGACACTCAAAAGGCTCAAACCCCCAAGGACTCCAGGAGCAGGAAAGACGATGCGCCTATCTCAGGAACCTAGATGAAAACAAAAATCTTACACAAAATGCTAGCAGACAAAATGCGGTGACAGGTAAAAAGGAGAATGTATCAGGACGGAAGGTGTGTTTATCCCAGAAATTCCAGAGGGGTTTAGCATTAGAAAAACAGCCAGACTATGTAAATAAGACAGGACGATCCGTCAATGCGGTGCATTGCATCAAGAGAAATATGAGCATTTCAGAGGCATGGGAAAGACGTTTATTACAATTCAACATCCATTAGTGATTTTAAAGAAAATCTTAGTAAGAGGTGAAAGCATTTGACAGCATTTCACTTAATGTTCGGAGCAAGATGAGCTGTGCCCATCTTCACTGCTTCTGTTCGGAATTGTCCAGGACTGGAAAGCACACAAAGACGAGAAAAGATACAGAAATATAATAATTGGAAACAGAGAAAGAAATTTTTCAAAATCTCAGAAGTTTAGAACCCTATCAGATCCAACTTTCCTTTCTGTAACAAATTAATGCCACTCTCCCATCCTGAAATGAAATACTTAGATAATATAACACCTCCACACACATATTTTCAAAAAACCAATACAGTGCTTTAATTGTAATATGAGGTAAATAAAAGAAAAATACCTTAAAAATGTTCATATTGATTATGTAAATTCTTAGGCCTAACAAAAAGTTAAACTCCCCTGCAAATTTCCAAATCTCTCCCTAGGGGGCAGTAAATCTCTTCAAGAACTATATTAGTCTGCACAGAAGAGCCCCCAATAACCACAGACACGCACAAACCCTCCAGATAATACACTAGATTACTAAGAAAAAGTAGCAACTTCTCTAGATTAAAAAAATCAATATACAAAAATCTAGGCTGAGGCAGGTGGATCGCTTGAGCCCAGGAGTTTGCAACCAGCCCAGGCAACATGGTGAAACCCCATCCCGTCAACGAATACAACGAATACTTAGCTAGGCATGGTGGTGGCATTTGTAATCTCAGCTAATCGGAAGGCAGAGGTGGGAGGATCCTTTGGGTCCGGGAGGTCGAGGCTGCAGTGAGCCCTGATAGTGCCACTGCACTCCAGCCTGAGTGACAGGGTGAGAATCTGTCTCAAAAATATGAAACAAAACAAAACAAAATCTATTTAATTCCTTTCTAGTAGCAACAAGCAGTCAGGAGAAGTCATTCTTTTAAAGTGTCAACTAAATCTAAAACAAGATATGCAAGAAAATAATTAAAAATTATGTTGATATATCTTACCTATCGTTATGTCTTCTAGATATGAGGTATCTTATCTATAAGATATAGAGCTATATAAGATGTATATGTATAACTTTATTTGCAATTTATTAATCTTTTTATTAATCTATATATCGCTCTATATATTTCTGAGACAGTCTCACTTTTGTCACCCAGGCTGGAGTGCAGTGGCATGATCTCAGCTCAATGCAACCTCCACCTTCTGGGTTCAAGCTATTCTCATGCCTCAGCCTCCCAAGTAGCTGGGATTATAGGTATCCACCACAATTCCCAGCTATTCTTTGTATTTTTAGTAGAGACAGAGTTTTACCATTTTGGCAAGGCTGGTCTCAAACTCCTGACCTCAGGTGATTCGCCTGCCTTGTCCTCCCAAAGTGCTGGGATTATAGTGTGAGCCACTGTACCCAGCCTACATTTTATATATCTTAACATAATATGTATCTTATATGTTAATATATGTATATCTTAACATAATTTTAATATATATTAAATATATATATATTATATATATAAATATATATATTTATATATATATAATAAATATATATATTAAAATTATATATACATAAATATGTATCTATATATTTATATGTGTATATATATATATATCTATTTTGGAGACAAGGTCTCACTCTGTCTCCCAAGCTGCAGTGCAGTGGTGCGATAGATCACAACTCACTCATCACTAATGGCTCACTAACCCTGTATTGCTCAGGCTGGTCTCAAACTCCTGGGCTCAAGCGATCCTCCCACCTCAGTCTCCCAGTGTCCTGGATGACAGTCATGAGCCACTGTGTCTGGCTGTATTAAGATGCTTCTTAAAATACACAAAGTAACGTAGAGAGACATCATGTCATAAAGTA